GCCCTGATTGACATATGCGCACAGGTAGCCTCAGGTATGGGCTATTTGGAGTCGATTAACATGGTGCACCGGGGTCTGGCTGCCAGGAATGTACTAATGGGCGATAATAATGTAGTAAAAGTGGCTGTACAAAACTGGACACTATGTGCAAAAACTGGACAATCCAGTGCAAAAATGGACATCTGGTCATACTAAATAAACACGTATCACTTATACTATTTAGGGATCCGGATGAGATCGACCGGAAAGACCTTAAATTGATCCGACGGTTAGAGAGGGGTATGTTTGGCATCGTTTTCTACGGCACACTACAAGATCAGACCGATGTGGCTGTCAAACGTCTTAAACCGGGCATTATGCCTCCGAAGGCTTTCCTGGACCAGGCGGTAATAATTAGGAGGTGCCGACACGACAATCTCGTCCAACTCTACGGGGTCTGTGCCCGGGAGGAGCCCCTACTCATCGTCACGGAGTTCCTCCCGAAAGGCTCTCTATTGGACTATCTTAGGGACGATACGAGGGAACAGCCACTGAAACTGCCCGCCCTGATTGACATATGCGCACAGGTAGCCTCAGGTATGGGCTATTTGGAGTCGATTAACATGGTGCACCGGGGTCTGGCTGCCAGGAATGTACTAATGGGCGATAATAATGTAGTAAAAGTGGCTGACTTTGGGTGGTTAGGCCTAGTTATCGAGGACAAGTATATGGGCGGACAATATCCTGTGTGTGCCATTAAGTACACGGCCCCCGAGGCCGTACTATATGGCAAATTCACCATAAAGTCCGATATCTGGTCCTATGGGATAGTGTTGTACGAAGTGATCACTTTGGGTGGTGCCCCCTATCCATGTAACTAATTTACACCTCTATATTTTACATAGTCTAGCTAATTTTATTTAATTTTAACATGCACAAATATAATATACAGTAGTAGCGTAGACAATTAAATCTACCGATTCTGTTTTTATAAATATTGTGCATTTATTAACTGATTATGCACCGTTATATCAGCATCGGTAGTGAATATTAAGCTAAATATATCTAATGAATACTAATATACTATATATATATATATATATATATATATATATAATTTTCTACAAAATAAAATATGAATTTTGTTTTATGTAATCACTGCAGGTATGACATATCGTGACATTAGAGACCAGGTGTGGACCCACAAGTACCGATTAAGCAAGCCTAAATTGACATTGGTGGAATGTCCCGATTCGTACTACAATACGATGCTTAAGTGCTGGCATGAAGTGCCCGAAGATAGGCCTACCTTTGAGTACTTGTGCCACTACTTCGAGGACTACTTCGTGGACACTGAGAGACAGTACCTCAAAGCAGAAGATAACGAATAGGACATGGATGACATATAAATTATGTATTTTTGATCGCATACTTGTATCACATTTAAATATTAAACACTAAATCTCAATGATAAACACATACATAGAAACACCCATTTCCGTTAAATACCATTACACACTTTATATTATTTATTTTTTCTACAGGATGTCATAACAATAATAAAAAAATGTTCTAGCACATACAATGTTAAAAATATTAAACTATAAAATACAATGCATGCATGAATTATAATTGTAAGATAAATATATATTTTTTAAAACATTTAGTTTTCATTATGAAATTGCTATAACTATACTAGTAAATTCTATAATTATTCACGATAATTTTTTTAAAAATAATTTTGTATTTGGACCTAAATTAAGCAAGCATTTAAAATTAAAAAAGGACTATAATTTTGACGGTAATACTTTGAACAGTGATATAATAGCAGATATTTTTGATGGTGAACTTTGCACTGGTCTGTATTAAATTATTAAAAAAATATATTAAAAAATAAATAATTTAATTTAGATTATTGCAATTAATATTTAACCAGAACACGATGAATGCGTTTACTCTAAAAATAAACCAAATTTACAAGTAAAACAAAATGCGTTTATTATAACTGCTACATTTAAGAAATATTTTTATATTGCATCAAAAATTCAACACTACCCCGGGGTAAAATGTTGAGTACAGCCATGTTTGTGAAGCTTACCGGTACCCGCGATCGTATATATATATTATGCGGTATAATTAAGCATATCTAAATAGTGGAGTAAAATTTAATAAGCCTGGTACAAAATTAGCCTGTATTTATAACGCCAGCGCTAATGAATACATTGAAAACGCAAACCTCAATGACTTTCATACGTACGCTCTGGTGGTGAATGAGACACACATTCAATGGCTATTCGATGGACACAATTACATGTCCGTCAATGTTGGGGAAGGACTGGCAGTTTTATCCGGTATTATGAGTGGACAGACAGTCCGGTCGACAATAGCCATACAAATAGTGACATTCTATCGAGTGTTGGTATTGCATAATAGGAAGTATATTGTCAATCAGTTTATTGGCAATAAGATATCATTTTAATGACAATAGCGTTAAAGTAAAAATTAATTAATGATATATTTTATATTACAGTATAAAAGTAATTTCAAATAAAATAATGTTAGATATAAAAAATTATAATTATATATTGATTATAATTGATATTCCTGGTACAGTTTGTTATTTGTTGTTGAATTGATTTGGTTTCTATAGTAATTTAGTTTAAAATAAGTGTAAATTAAATCATAGGAAAACAAAATATTTTGATATTGAGATAAAAGTGGTATAATATATCTCTTATAGTCTTAATATAAATATATTTGAAATATACAATAGATTTTTAAAATATATTTATAATGAAACCCTATTTATTAATCAGTTATATTATAATAAATTTAAATATATTTGCAACGAAAATATATGTATCAACAAAATATATTATAATTAGCTTAAGTATAGCTGCAAAGAAAATGTATTATTTTATAAATACTAATTTAAAAGCAAAATATTTATTAGTTTTGAAAATATTTTGTTTCGTAATATTATGTTACGAGGGCTTTGAGATAACCGCAGATTTCCTACACTATCCCTATGTCTATAAGTTTGGTGTCAAACCCTCTGAGGGCTTGGATTTATTGCCGATTACTATCTGTACGGAAAGGGATGTGTTTTTCGATAAGACACGGATTGTCCGACACTTTAATATAAGCCGTGAATACGAATCACACAAACTGTCGGCTAAGCAACAGTCAAATGATTTGTATAATAAATGCCATATTAAATTGAAAATGTCTGCTGACTTTTGCAATTATTTTAAATACAAGTATAATTATTTGATTAATGAATATCTTAAACCATATAAACAGCAAATGCTATCAAATCTAACATTTCGTGAAATGTATGACAACTTTACCATAAAGTCTTCACAACTCATCAAATGTTCGGCAAAATTGCATTTC